CATTTAACTTCTGAAGCAGGAAATATAAAACCTGAAGGTTTAAATATAAAACTGTATGAAAACTTCTTTAATCACCTTTTATACCCTTAAAACAAATAAAAAAGTTTGGAAATGCTGGTTTTTGTTTTAAACGCTTCAAAGATTTAAGAAAGAAGAAGGAGTGATTTCAGAGAGTTAAATTATTTCCAGTGTTTTTACAGTTCCTCCTAAACAAAACGTGTAAACCAGGGAAGCACCGACGTATAAATTCCAGCTGATATCTGATATAATTATTGCTGTCATGGCCGATAACCGACATGAGTGATGACATGACGTGTTTCTCTAGTCTAAAGTGTACCAGTGACACAGAAATGTGTTTTTCATCCAAACCCAGAGAGACGCTGGTCTGCAGGTTCTGCAGGGTCCTGACCCGCTGGAGGAACATGTGAACAGAACCCAGCAAACCATGTGAAGAAAAGTTAGTGGAGTTCTTCTTCGGACAGAGTCGACTTCCTGTTATTTCACAATAAAAGTCTGGAGCTGTTGGAAGGACAGTTCTTCCTGTTCGGAGTCTTAAACGCGTCCCTCAGAACTCCTCTTTGATGTTCAGCGTCAGAGACGGAGACACCAGACCGTTGTTGCCGCTGCTGCTCGTCACCATGGAGGCGCCGCCGCCGCCGCCGCCGGTGCTGCCGGCGGGAGGGGTGGGCGTGGTCGTGGAGGAGGCCGGCTGCTGCAGCTTCTTCTTGTTGATTTTCCGCTCCTTGGCTCGTCGGTTCTGGAACCAGATCTTGACCTGGAACAGATGGACTCGGGTCAGAACTTGGTCCACAACACGACCGAACATACGACGCTGGGACGTAAAACGCTCCATCAAACCCAGAACCAGTTTAAATTTGATCCAGTTTAACAACATGTTGTGCCCCGGAACATGAATGAATGTTGGCGTACCTGTCTCTCWGACAGGCTGAGCGTGGTGGCGAGCTCCGCCTTCCTCCGGATGGTGATGTATTTGCTGTAGTGGAACTCCTTCTCCAGCTCCAGGCGCTGGTGGTCCGTGTAGACCACCCGGTACTTGTCTTTAGTTCGTGTTTTTCCATCTGCAAACACACAAACACACAGATGAGATGACTAAATGTTGAGCTGTACGCTGATGATGCTTTAATTACCAACAGATTTCAGTTAATGATGGAAGTGATCCATGTTTTCTCTAATAACTGATAAATTGGACATGTTTTTGTAAGAACTGGTGAAAACAAAGCCTCAGAGCACGGAGAGGTTTCCTGCTCAGCTGTGTGAAATCACATCAGCTGTTTATAAAGCATGAATGAGGCGAGTCGTGAGGTTTTATACTCGGTGTTGTAAAGCTGACAGGAAGCGTGTTGGAGCCGTGTTCTCAGCAGGCGCCTGTATTCAAATGTCCCACCGGCCTCGGCTGCGTTTGCATGAGCTGAGTTTTATCAGCTTTTCTTCGTTTATGAGCCACAGCCGAAGATAAAGCCCTGCTCTGCCTCCAAATGGATCGAGCTCTGTTTAATTCAACACATCAGCTCTGGAGACTACATTACCCACAATGCCTAAATTACCTTTAACATGTTTATAACCTTTACCTTTAACATGTTTATAACCTTTACCTTTAACATGCTTATAACCTTTACCTTTAACATGTTTATAACCTTTACCTTTAACATGTGATGCTAATTAATGGACACACCTTGATTTAACATGACTCTTTGGTCACATTGTCCTGATGCATCTCAGTAATCGAGTAAGTGGTCTCTGCAGTAGGTTTGGTCGTGTGGGCGGAGACATCCCTGCTCGTGATTGGCGGAGGTCTTGATGTGGGTGGAGATGGCCCGAGACGTGATTGGTCAGATTAACGTTGGGGTTTGAGGAGGCTGGAGGCAGCGGGGAGCAGCTTGATCGAGTCAGGCAGGAAGTAACATGGTTTTTAAGATTTTAGTCATAACTTGAGAAAGGAA